AAAAAAGGAGTTTATTGGCTGATGCCAGTACATCAAAAACTGTTAAATATTGTCCAGATATATTAGTCTTTTCCAACTTAGGACTTAACCTTATCTGCTACAAAATATTTTTAGAAATACACATTTTAGCATTTGCTTCCCTTTAACATTGACAGCTGGGTAGATGTGAATTATTGTGCCAAAATTTTTAGCTTATTAATGCTGTAAATATGTTTAGCATCACCCACCGCACTTGTTTATTCTCAAAAATATGAGGACAAGATGGAGACTGAATAGTTTTGTAATTATTTGTGATGTCCTTTAGTCGTTTATACTTCTATGACATTTTGATTGTGCAGTTTGTATAAATGCATACTTCCTTAGCAGATCACTTTCTGTACTTTGACTCCACCTACTGGATGTAGAACTGAAAATAGTAGAAAACATGGATTCAACAGGAGTCTTATTACACCAAATCTAATCATGTCATTAATGAGTAAAACCTGAGCCGTTATATCTGGTTCAGTATATTTATTGAATGACATCACATCTTCAGAAAGACTGTTGTCTGCCTGTTTTTATGTTGCAGTGAGTTGTGTTCCATCCTTGTAAATTATCTGATTATGTTCAGATTTTGTGTATTGCAACAATCCTAAATCACACATTGAGGTGTGGATGTGATGATGAACATTGTTCTCTCTCAGGTGTTCTGTGCAGCTTGTTGTGACTTATTTCAAAGACAAACTTGATACATTTTCTCCAAAGTATTGTTTCACCTCATGCCCCTCTTGTGCCAGTTTACTCAAGGATTGACTGTAACAACTTTCTGACATTCTAGAATAAAATCAGAAATATCAGGGCAAGTTTTTCACCCCCATCTACTTCCTACCCTCCCATCCAACCACCTTCCTGCCGATCTTGGTCTGTCTTTACTCCTGTAGATTTCCAGTACATTTGCCTCATTCAGAAACACATGAAACCAACCTCATGCCCTGCTGATTTTATTCATACTACCTTATTCATCAGTATGTTTGACCAAATCGGCCCATGCATTGTAGATTTTATTAATTTATCTCTAAAATCTGGCTCTATACCATCTGTTTTCAAACATTGAACCTATCCTTAAAGAAACACAAACAAATTTGGACTCATCTCAGCCTAAAAATTACAGACCCTTTTCTAAATTACAATTTATCTCTAAAATATTAGAAAAGGTTGTGACAGATCAACTGATTACTTTTCTGGAACTACACAACAGTTTTGACAAATTCCAATCTGGTAATTGTAAAAAGCATTCAACAGAAACAGCTTTGCTTAAAGTTTCCAGTGACATCATGATGGTTGCAGACAACGGGGAGTTCACAGTGTTAGTATTGTTAGATCTTTCTGCAGCTTTTGACACTGTTGATCACATCATCTTAATTAACAGACTTGGTGACTCGGTGGGGATCTCTGGAACTGTTCTAGACTGGTTTAGATCGTACCTTTCTAACAGAAGTTACAGTGTCTGTATAAACCAAATCATGTCAGATTCTACCGATCTGTTCTGTCGGGTACCCCAAGGCTCTGTTTTGGTCCACTGTTGTTTCTACTGTACATACACCCCCTTGGACAGAAAATTGATTCTTTTCATAATGTCTTATCACCTATATGCAGATGATATTCAGCTGCACTGCTCCTTTAAGTTTTCTGCGCTCTACAAACAGTCTGAATTACTAGAGTGTCTATCAGCTATCATCAGCTGACTAGAAGATAACTTCCTTCAGTTAAACTCTGAAAATCTGATCATTGTCCCTGAGAGCATGGTTCCCCTAATTAGTCAAAAAACCTGGTCATTTATCATCCGCCGTCAAGACAAACTTAAGGAATTTGGGTGATGTTTTTGACCAATCAATGTCTCTTGAAGGCCACTCAAAAACATTGCTCCGAAACTGTTTTTATAACTTATGTTTATGTATTTAGCAGACGCTTTTGTCCAAAGCGACTTACAAATGATAATTGGCATGTTGCCCTTGAGGCTAACAACAACAATAACCACCACAACTTGACATCAAACATGGAGAGTAGGGAACAAGGAGTGGACAGTAGAGAGGGGGGACGGGTGCAGGGAGGGTGCTAGTTTAGAAGATGCTCTCTGAAGAGCAGGGTCTTCAGGAGTTTCTTGAAAATTGAAAAGGAAGCCCCTGTTCTGGTAGTGCTTGGAAGGTCATTCCACATTTGTGGAATGATGTATGAGCAGAGTCTGGATTGTCCTGAGTGTGGTGTAGGCACTGCTAGCCGACGATCCTGTGATGACCGGAGCGGCCGGGCCGAGACGTAAACCTTTGCAAGAGGATTCAGGTAGATGGGAGCCGTACCATCTTGGACTTTGTATGCTAGTGTTAGCAATTTAAATTTGATGCGTGCTGGAGGCGGTAGCCAGTGGAGCTCAATGAACAGAGGGGTGACGTGTGCTCTTTTTGGCTGATTGAAGACCAGACGCGCCACTGCATTCTGGACCATTTGAAGAAGTCTCACAGTACAGCCTGGAAGACCAGTTAGAAGGGCATTGCAGTAATCGAGGCGGGAGATGACAGTAGATTGCACCAGGAGCTGGGTGGCATGTTGTGTTAGGTATGGTCTGATCTTTCGTATGTTATACAGCGCAAAGCGGCGTGAACGAACAACAGAGGCAACATGATCTTTAAAGGTCATGTGTTCATCAATCACAACACCCAGATTTCGAACTGCCTTTGAAGGAGCCAGAAATAGGAAGTCATTTTGGATTGAGATATTGTGCTGTATGGATGGTTTTGCTGGGATGACAAGTAGTTCAGTTTTAGAAAGGTTGAGTTGGAGATGGTGGGATTTCATCCATTTTGATATGTCAGAGAGACAGTTTGATATTCGTGCAGAGACAGTGTGGTCGTCCGGTGGAAATGACCGATAGATCTGGGTGTCGTCTGCATAGCAGTGGTAGGAGAAGCCATGTGATCGAATGATCTCACCCAGTGAGGTGGTGTATATGGCAAAGAGAAGAGGTCCTAGTACAGAGCCCTAGGGGACTCCTGTGTTAAGATGGTGCACGGTAGATGATTGTCTAAGCCAAGATACACCGAATGATCGTCCTGAGAGGTACGATTCAAACCAGGCGTGTGCTTTCTCTGTGATGCCCATGGTAGAGTGTGGACAAAAGGAAGCCATGGTTGACAGTGTCTAATGCAGCCGATAAGTCGAGCAGGATAAGCACTGAGGATTTGGCAGTCGCTCTAGCTTCTTTTAAGGAACTTAACAAATATCTCCAAACTGCAAAGGGTGGTGTGAAATCATGAACTTGAAATGGTTATCTGTGCCTTTTTCACCTCCCGTCTAGATTACTGTAACACACTTTTCACCTTCAGTTGTTCCAGAATTCTGCAAAGAGGCTCCTAACCTGAGCAAGCCGAAGAGCACACATCACTCCTATTCTAATGTCTCTGCACTGGTTACCCATAAACTTAAGAGTTCATTTTAGAATCCTGGCTAGAACTTTCAGGGCTCTACATGGTCAAGCTCCTCCCTGTATTATTGAACTGTTAAAGCCTTATGCTCCAACCCGAGCCCTCAGGTCCACACACCAGAGCCTTCTAGAAGTTCCAATGACCAGATATAAAAGTCAAGGTGATCGATCCTTCCAGCACCCCAACTTTTGAATGATCTTACATCACCCTTATGTAGCATTAACGTAATGACTTTATTTTTTCTGATGTTAATCTGTCTGTTTTGAGATCATCATAATTTTATGACTTAATGTGTTATTTTGTTTTGATCTATGTGAAGCACTTTGTGACTCTATATCTGTGATAAGTGCTATATAAATAAAATTTACGTAGTTACTCACAAAGTACAATAGGTTTCAAAAAGTTCTGTAACTCGCCGCATCATGAAGTCAAACTCGTTTCTGGAGGGCCTGTTGGAGTCCAGGGATGTGTGAAAGGGCACAATGAGCAACAGATGGGACAAAATTCTGCAATAAGGCATATGGTGTATTTCAGCTTCATGGTGCTGTTTTGATATTGTCAGGTTTTTTTATACTAATAAAGTGGTCTGTTGTTTATGTGTGTCTTTAACCGTAAAGATATGAAAGTTCCCTTCATCTACAGATGGTTAATAAAAAAGTTTATTTTTATAAGAAGGTAAAGTGGGTCGTGAGAATGACTCAACTCATCTAATTTACTGAGATTGTCTCAAATTGTAAGATTTTTTAGTCCTAACTTGTAAAAAACAAAAAGGCAAAACTTTTTGGTAGTTACTTTCAAATTTTTTTAAACTCAATAAATCACATAAACACAAATTACACTAGAATGGAAATAAGTAAAAGAAATCTGCCAGTTCAGTTCCAGTTAAAGTTAAAAGTCTCACTGGTTGTCACACTAGTGCATGGAATTAGAGCTGCAGCTGTGGCCGCGCTTAGGAACTATTTGGTGGTTTAACCCCCAATCCAACACATTTAAGCTGAGTGTCAAGCAGGGAGGCATTGGGTCCCATTTTTAAAGTCTTTAGTAAGACCTGACCGGGATTTGAACCCCGATCTCCCAGTCCCAGGGCAAACACTCTTGCCACTAGGCCACTGAGCTGGTTACAGTTACACACACAATTTGTTTTTAATTTACAGTTTTATTTTTTCAATGATTTCATTTTTTTTATTATAGCTAAGAAGAAACATTTCTTTTCAACGTTCTGGGTTCAGGTTTTATTTAAACTTTATCTTTTGCATTGTCGATATTTGTTTTGCAAATATTGTCTATGCTCTTTCTATTTCCTATTTATTTGGTGACTTCTGGACCATTTTTTTTTGTCTGGAATACAATTTTCCTTGAATGAAATGTTTTAGTAATTCATAAATCCAACACTAGATACATTCTTTGTTTGAAACTAAAGCTTCGTGTTCTCCCAAAGAACCTGTTTTTCCTTTGATGTTGTGTTTTCTTTGTCAGCTGTGACTACATAATGCTGTTAGATTAGAGCCTTAAATGACCTAAAATTTATGTTTCTTCTTACAGTTCTACAAGCATGTTGTCCAAAGTGTGGAGAAGTTTATTCAAAAAGTAAGTTTGTATTCAGAGTTTACATTAAACTACTTTATGGATAGTGTTTAATAATTATTATCAAAAAATGAAGGAAATTGATACATTTTCTCTTTAAATCTTTATCAGAAGTCTAACTATTTCACCCAACATAGTTTTTCAGGTCAGAATGTTTTTGAAGGTCTCGTTCACTGAAAAACTCTGTAATATTTGTCCTTTTTGGAATATTAGCTGAGTTATGTATGCATGTTAAATGTGAACATTTCTTCATCCTCTGTAGCTTGCATTAGCCGCAGAAAGGAAATGAAGGAGGAAAGAGCAGGTCCGAAAAAGCCAGTCTCTTCTATGTCCGAGAAAATTAGCATTCATGGCTCCGCCAACCTTGGCTCGCAGTCGCTCATGACTATATTAACTTTGCAGCTTTGAAAGAGCAGAGCGTGTCTCAGCTAGTAGAAGCTAGCCATTAGCATTAACAGCCCCACTACATGGTGGAACACGTTCAGGCTTGTGGTATTTGTGGAGATTAAAAGAGCAGTGTTGAATTTTTTTTCCCAAGAAAGAAAAGCGAACAAAGACAATAGAAGAGTTGTTTTGCTGTTAGCCAATCGGGGGTGTTACATTTGCATATCATGAATATTAATGAGCAAGACTCCAAATCCTGCCATTTTATTCCGACTTACTTCTCTTACAAACGTATACCCACTGAAACAGGAGTGTGAAAACTGCTCACAAGGCACTGAGACAACAGCAGATTTATTGGGGGGAAAAGTGAACTGCACCTTTAAATAATAAATACCTTTATGATCTGAAACTACAGCCATGTGTTTCCCCCACAGTGCAAGCCAGAATACAAGGTTCCTGGGCTGTATGTTATCGACTCCATAGTCAGACAGTCACGCCACCAATTTGGCACAGAGAAGGATGTTTTTGCACCTCGCTTCAGCAAAAACATCATTGCAACCTTCCAGTACCTCTACCGCTGCCCACCAGATGATAAGGTCAGACAGCTGTAAATGTTTTCTTTTTTTATTTCTTTTATGGTTTTTTTCACAGTTGCCATCTTATTTTTGTGTGTGTTTATTCAGAGTAAAATTGTGCGAGTCCTGAACCTGTGGCAGAAGAACGCCGTCTTCAAGAGTGACATCATTCAGCCTCTATTGGACATGGCTGCTGGGATTCCTCCTCCCAGCTCTACACCCGTTCTGCCCAGCACTGCCGCTCCAATCAATAACACTACACCTGGTAAACACAAAGCAGACTGAAACAGGCATCCGATCACAGGTTGTGGAGTGTGGTTGATTGCGTCTGTCATGTTAAATTTATTGTTCTGTTTGTTTAGGCACTCCAGCTACACCTGCTACTCCAGCAAACATTGTCCAGGGTCTGCCTGACTGGGCTTCCCAGATAACAAACACAGATACAGTTGCTGCTGTCGCACAAATCTTACAGAGTCCTCAGGGACAGCAGGTTGGTGGGCAGGCCTGGAATTGCTTTAAAATAACTACATGTTCTTGTTTGCCTCTGATTGGCCTTTACAGTTTGCATTAATATTTTTGTTGATTCATGAGAAATACTTTGTGTTGTCACCAGCTACAGCAGCTGGTACAGAGTCTGCAGATGCAGCAGCAGAAGCCCCAGCCGTCCCTGCTGCAGGCTTTGGATGCTGGCCTGGTGGTGCAGTTGCAAGCTTTGACGGCTCAACTTACCGCTGCAGCCACTGCCAACAGCCTCAACCCTCTCGAACAAAGGGTCTCTTCTTTTAATAAGGTAACACTTTGGTCACCTCTTATTAGTGTTTTACCCTAATGCAAAGTTTCTTACTTTGATCGGCTTTTGTTTGCTGTAGAAACTTCTGGGTCCTTTCGAGTTTGGAAATGATTCAGAACGCAGCGAAGAACCAAAGAAGGAATCTTCAACATCTCAGTTGTAAGTTAGTAATGCCCTAAAGTTCTTGCTGCTTCTGTGTCAGACACTTCCACTAAATGCTAGAGCCTAATCAAGCTTCTGACCACCTTTTAGGCCCATGGTGTCAGAACCCATTAACAGCTCACTCTTCCATCAACTGGCTGAGCAGCTGCAGCAGCAAAACCTGGAACAGTTTCAGAAGCAGCTGCTGGAGCATCAGCAGAAGGTAAAACACAAAAACAAACAGCATTTACTGTGCAGTGGTCCCCTAGGAATTTTTCCAGCTGTGTTGGGGCAGGGGATTATGACACGTCTCACCTTTATGTTGCTGTTGTTTTATTAGACGCACTCCACTTTGAACTGCACCAATCCAGCAACTGCTGCATTTTAATAACTAGTATTAAAGGTGAATACACCAATATTTGCACAAGAATAATTTCTGTTTTAAACTCTCAGTGACACACTTTGCAGGGGGGATTGGCATTTAATTTTTCTTGGCGTCTGGGAAAACATCTCCTTCTGCCCCCTTTATTCTGGTCCAAGATCATTACTGGGCTGGCCCTGTTAAACACGTTCTACACCCCTGCTTAGTAGACTTAATGAAGTATTTTTAAGCCAGTATAAAAATGACTGAAAGACAAATTTACATATTTGGCATTATTGACCAATATCTTTGATTTAATTTATTTGTTAAGAACATCAAGATGCATTACAGTGAACATTATAATAAAGTACATTTTTCTAGTGCAGAGAGGAGACAACCCATAGAAGCACTGATTTGATCTCATTTCAGAGAAAAATAGAACAGGTCAGATGCACCTAATAAATAAAATTACTAACATAAACGCAGGAATCTGTTTCTTTGCTTCATTGTTCTGGTGCTGAAAATATCACTAATGCGGATCAAAGGAGACACACAGATGAATGCACCTCTTATTTATTATTTGGAAATTAGTGGGTGTGGTTTACATCAATACATTATTTTAAATCTGAAATTGAAATGGATTGATCAGAAGTTGTTTATTTATAAACTATTGTTTATTTGAAAACTATTTACAGAGCAGCCTCAGAATTGAGATGAAATATTTTTGATCACAATAGTAAAAGTATTACAGAACACGTTTTCAGTAAAATCAGAACATTATTATTTAAGTGCATGAATTAATGCATCTGAACTCATGCAGTAGGAACTAAGAAATATGAAATACTAGAACCAGACACAACTTACTTTTTTTAATTTTAATTTGATTAAACAGATTTTTTCCTAACGTTGTTGGCATTTTTCCCACACACAGTGTGTGTGTGTGTGTGTGTGTGTGTGTGTGTGTGTGTGTGTGTGTGTGTGTGTGTGTGTGTGTGTGTGGGTGAGGGAGAGAGAGAGAGAGAGACAGAGAGGTTGGGGGAGTTAAAATAATTTAAAAAAACCCGACTAGAGCGGAGGCAGTGACCAACGCATGCCGTTTTCAGCTCTGTCTTGTCAAATGCGCAAAGTAAGTTACGAAAAAATTAACTTTAAATATTCAACCGAAAAAGAGGCGAGCTGAAGAAAACCTGGGGAGTACCTTAGAAACGTGAGCAACAGTGAAGCAAACACAGAGAGATCCGTTACTGTCTGTGTGTGTGCGTGGGGCAGATCAGAGTTTTGTGTGTAGGGAGGGGCGGGCGCTCCATGTGACTGGCCAGTCACAGAGCGTGAAGGCAGTCAGTTACCCAATGAGGATTTTCCTTCAGCACGATTACAGATATTTACGAGTTTTACTCGTTTCATGCTCGTATTCGTCAAAAATGCTTTATCCGCGGCTCATTCCTAGCTGTAACCGCCCTGCCCTGCCTCCTCCTCCTTGCTGCCTGCCAGCTGTGATAACAAGCAACAACAGAGTAGTTCCCTGCTGCTTCTTCGGGAAACAGCGCAAAAAAAAAAAAATTTATAAAACGGGGTCTTGCAGGCGTTGCGCTGGGATTTTAGCCGTGGCGGGTCGCCACGCCTACGCCTATGTAAGGGAAACACTGCTGTGATAAACGTCTTCTTTTTTATCTGTACTCTCTGATTTACCTTTGGGTTTCTGTTTAAACATGTGCTGCTGTTGTGTCCACCAGGCAATGAGCATCGAGAGCCAGGATTCAATGTTTGGACAAGAAAACTCAGTTACAGCTGCTCAAAACTGCAGCCAGCCACAGCTCCCTGAGCCGGAGAACAAGATAGATGACTCTATAGACAACCAGCAGCAGGTACTTGTGGAAACTTTTTATAAGGGATGCACGGTATTGGAAAAAGTTTGCCTGCGATATAAAAAATAATGAAATCTTCAACCAAAGACTTAAATACCACTCAAAGTATTGGTGCACTCCTGTTAAGTTGTTGACAACTAACTCATTGGTGTCTTATATTCCATGAGAGGTGATTAATGTCCTCCAATAAAATAGTCAGTCTACAACAGTGTTGTTTTCATTAACAAAAACAATGACGAATTGTTTTCGTTGACACCCCTTTTTTTTTCATAGCGAAAACAAGACGCTGATGAGCTAAAAATAGCTCTTTAGTGACTAAAACATGACAAGGCGAACGGGAGTTTTCGTTAACGAGCCGAGACTAGACAAAAACTGCTCAAAATGCACATTTCTGTCTGTCCCTTTAAAGTTTAATACAGGGTATCTGCAGGTCCTTAAAAAGTCTTAAAAAGCCTTAAATTTGCTTTTCCAAATTTAAGGCCTTAAAAATCCTTAAAAATGACAAATAATCCTTAAATAGTTTCCAAAAGTCTTAAATTACCAAAGACCCAATAAACAAGATTATTTTATTTCTATAAAATTTTCGTGAATTTCTAGTTAGTGTTCAGCATTTTTTGTGTATGGTATTGGCATAAGCGTACACGTTTGGTTGGTTGTGAAAGGGGGCTATTTTTAGATGAGCTGGTTAAGCTAGTGGGAGTTTGCACCATGGGGAAGTGCAACATAAATGGTAACTGGATGGCTAATCCCACGTTCACGACGCGGTTAGCACCGGTTCCAGGCAATAGCTGGAAATTATAGCTTAAATTTAATTTAAAAAATTGCTTAGATTTGGTCCAAGTGGCCTTAAAAAAGGTCTTAAAAAGTCTTAAATTTGGCTCCCTTAAACCTGCAGATACCCTGTAATATAACAGCGCGGCTGTCTGTGTCTCAGGTGAGGCGTAATCTTCTCACAGACCAGCCTCAGCAGCTGAGTGAAGCTGGCTCCCCACCCACATCAGAAAGCACTAACCACTCTATTTGCATGGATTTCTGATGTGGGTTGGAAGTTAACTTTACTCAGCTCGGCTCAGCTCTTCCCTGTCCCGGGAATATGCAGCACTCAGCCGCTCATTGACGCTACTACGAGCGACGACGTTTCCCCAGCGAGAGCAGCCCTGTATGGCGCTCAGCCACTGTAGCCACAGGTGGGAGGGAGATCTTGGAGCGCAGAGCACATTGACACCTGCAGGTTGATGACTTCGCCAGGCTGAAGTCCACCAATCTGAAGGCAGGGGGGTAGGTCGGGTTTTCACAGCATCTGTCTGCATTCCTTCGTGGGGGTGGTTTGTTGTTGGCACCACAAGGCTGCCATGGCGTCAGATTCGGATAACAAGACTTTGTTTGGGTCAGGCAGAGATAATTTTCCTCTCTGCCTTCATGATCATTCAAGTCCTCCAGTGAAGCCAGTTTAGGTTTTAAACATCTCCACACCGTCCGGTGACCTTCTCCAAGATGACATCCATTTTGCGCACTAATACCGGTAACGCAACTAGAACATTGTCCAGCTTACGATTCACCTCGAGTAACGTCCCAGTCTGTAAGGTCTCCACACGGACGGTGCTTTCCGTGGGTGCGGGTCGCCCTCCTATCGCTCCCGTCTTCCCAAATTTCCAGAAAACCAGATATCCTCCCACTTCAATCAGAAGAAATCCAGTGATCATCAGGCCAAACATCCACACATCTTCGACGGCCTCAGTGGACAGCTGGGAGAGGCATACAATCTTCCACTCTTTCCAGGAATCCATCATATATCCCGCCGGGTGTGTCCCTTGCGGGCAAGTGGGAGCCCCCTGCTCCGTTCTCATCGTTGAAAAAATCTTATCAATCGCGTTGAATGACCAATTAATTAAATCCATTTCTAAAAATTAGGGTTTTTTGGAGAAGTGCAGAGAAGCGCTCTGTGGGCAGACAGGACAAAGAGCCTTTGGAAAAACAGATAAGGGTGCAAGGAGAGAAGCGTCTGCTCTGCGAGTGCCAGAAGAGAGCCATAGAATAAATATAGCCATAAAATAAATGATGTTGGTGAACTCACTCCAGTAGCTCAGAGTACACGTCTGACCTATAAATTCATTTGTTAGAGAATATCACTTTGTTTAATGTTTTGTAAAATTAAAAACAAAAATCGTTGTCGACTAAAACCTTTTTGAGATTTAGTCGACTAAAACTGACTAAAATGCATTTTCGTCGTGAAGACTTAAGCTTGGTTTATGCTTGACGCATTTACTTTCCGCTTGGTGATGCGGCTCGCGGATGGAACGCGCTTCACAACTTGCAGCGTTTATGGTTCATGCGGCTTGTCTCTGCGGCGAGCCAATATTCTCCCAAACTGTAGGGGGCAGCATGGAGCTCTACGGCATGCATCCAACACTAAACCATAGTAGAAGTAAAAATTACTGTGGTTTACAACATGGCATTCCAGCATTTTTTAATAGCGTCCTTGTCTTTTCCGACAGTGCGAGCTATTTCTCTCCAAGAATTATTAACAACATGTTGATCACGGTGATCTCTGAGAGCTGAATCATACAAACGTCTGTATTTACGAACCTCTGCCATACTAGTTCTTGCCAGTCCGCCATGTTTTTCCACGTCCGACCGTCCACGTGGTTAGAAAATTTCCTAGGTGCGTGGTGCGGAAAGTTTGGGCCGTGTGGAGGCGCGGTGGAGGGGCGTGGTTGTTAAAATGACGCAATTTTGCCGCGCGGAGTCGGCTGGACCTCGCGGACGCGTCAAGCATAAACCAAGCTTCAGACTATGACTAAAACTAAGATGCCTGCCAAAAATAACACTGGTCTACAACAATTCTCACGTCCACAATTCAACATAATAAGCCACTGACAACCTTGAAATTTTCCTTCAAATGTGTCTCTTCCTTACGAAGTTTTTATCAGAACCTTCCTCAGCATCATGTGTGTACAATGCAGTGTTGATGCTCAAACTTAGGATCATGCAACTCTACTTTGTACATTATTTGTATGCAAGTGATGCAGGGTGTGATCTCTACCTTTCCCTAAAAATGAACAATAACTTACCCAGGATATGGATTTGGACGAGGGCCCTGATGGAATGGAGGAGGAAATATTTGAAGCGGAAGAGAAGAAGATGTTGAGCCCTCGGTCTAGGACACGTTCCAGGTCACGTTCAAGGTGAGTGTTTTTAATTGTTCTCTCATTTTATTGTGATGATAACCAAAACAAAGCATACATTTGGAAAGTGTTTACTCATATATTTGAGTTTCTTGTTCTCTCTCTCTCTTTTTTTTTTTTTTTCCTCCGGTAGATCGCCCAAACGAAGAAGGTCCAGGTCTCGCTCCGGCTCACGAAAACGTAAGCATCGCAAGCGTTCACGATCTCGCTCCAGAGATCGCAAGAGGAAGACGTCACGGTCGTATTCAAGTGAAAGGCGTGCCCGAGAACATGAAAAAGAGCGGCAGAAGAAGGGATTACCTCCAATACGATCCAGGACTCTAAGTGGTGAGAGGGAGTCACTTTTTAATTTTACATTTTTCAGTCGTTGCCAATGTTTTTACTGATGTTTGTTATCGTTAGTCTGCAGCACAACTCTGTGGGTCGGCCAGGTGGACAAAAAGGCCACTCAGCAAGACCTCACCAATCTGTTTGAAGAGTTTGGTCAGATTGAGTCCATTAATGTAAGCACGCCTCAGCCCTGATTTACCCTTAAGTGTAATTTAAGTATGTTAGTCCATTCTCTGATGATCTGTCTGGTAAAAGGCTTTAAACATTCTCCAGTTTGCATTATTGTTTAACCTTCCTGTTGTCTGCAGATGATCCCTCCCAGAGGTTGCGCCTACATCTGTATGGTCCACAGACAGGATGCTTACCGTGCCCTCCAGAAGCTTAGTACAGGCTCTTTTAAGATTGGATCCAAGATCATCAAGGTCTCCTTTACCTTTATAATTAAATTTGTTGTAAACCCAATCTCTTTGATGGTTTTTCCTAATTAAAAATGGCCTTTGACCTCCTGTGGTAAAAGCCTGAATTTCTGGGCACATCCATTTATACTTAAAGGAAAATTGTCTGAAAAGTGTTGTGTTGTAACCTTAGTGTACCTGTCTGGTTTAGATCGCATGGGCTCTGAACAAAGGCGTAAAGCAGGAGTACAAACAGTTTTGGGATGCAGACCTGGGCGTCACCTACATACCCTGGGAGAAGGTCAAGGTAGATGACCTGGACGACTTTGCTGAAGGGGGAATCATCGACCAGGAAACTGTCAATGATGGTAGGCATTTGTGAATTTTCTTTTACATATACGGTCTATTTAAATGGTTGTTTAAATTTGCAAATAAGGAAAAACTATCCTAGCAGACAGTTTCTGGTTTCATCGTTAGAAGATTTGTTTCATGGGTTGTTTTGGGGATATGTGACAAACATTAAGAGCAGATTTTCCTAAAACTTGAGTGTGAATGTTTTTGTTTTTGTTTACAAATGTAGAGTGGGAAACGGCCAAGATCCCTGAACCACCCAAGGAAGCTGTGAGTCAGCCAACAAGCGCTGAAACGACAGTGGTGTCCAACACACAGACTGAGTCCTACAGCCAGCAGGTTACCATGATGCCTGTTCAGGTACTTTAGATATATCTATAACTTCTGTTCTGGAACATGCAGTTTTCTCTCATTGTTTTGATGACATTTGCATTCTTATTCAGCTACCGGTGGCCCAGGCCGTTCCCAGTGCAGTGAGTTTGGTGCCTCCCACCTTTCCAGTTTCGATGAGCATACCTCCACCGGGCTACGGGCCGCCACCTCCGTTCATAAGGCCCAGCTTCAACGCCTCACAGCCTCCACCAGGTAAATCAAATGAAATCAAAGTTTATTTATATAGCACTTTAAAATGACAACTTGTTGACCAAAGTGCTTAACAGAGATAAAAACACATCATAAAAGAACATTAAACTGGCAAGGACAGAATTGAATGATTTTAAAACAAAGGTCAGTCATTGAAAATGAATCTGAAATTCAACTGGAAGCCAGTGAAGAGAGAGGCTAAAACAAGAGTGATGTGATCACACTTCCTTGGTAAATGGCCTGTATTTGATATAGTCCTGGAACCCCCCAAGGCGCTTTACAACACTATCAGTCTTCACACACACCTTCGCATGCTGATGGGGATGAGCTACGATGTAGCTACAGCTGCCCTGGGGCGCACTGACAGGCGAGGCACTGGCGCCACCGGTCCCTCCGACCACCACCAGCAGGCAAGGGGGCTTAAGTGTCTTGCCCAAGGACACAACGACAGTGACAAATTGAGTGGGGCTCGAACCTGCAACCTTCCAGTTACGGGGCGAGCACTTAACTCCTGTACCACCATCGTCCTTATTTGTCAGCAGGCGAGCGGCAGCTTTTTGGACCGCCTGAAGACGAGACCCAGACGACTTATTTAATCCAAAATAGAGCGCAATGCAATAGTGAAGTCTCAAGCTGATAAAAACATGAATCACGATCTCAAGGTCGTTAAATGAAAGAAATGGTTTGACTTTACTCTTTTATCTTAAGTGGGAAAAAACTAGATTTTATAACCGTGTTTATTTCTTTGTCTAAGTCTAGTTTGTTGTTGAATGTAAATGTGGCACCAAAGGGCCTGAGGTTCAGATTTAACGAGTCCGAGGTGTAGGGTCACCAAACAGCACGCATCCAATTTTGCTGTCATTAGGAAAATTCTGTGCTAGCCAACCCTGCAAGTATTTAAGAAAGTCAAACGGAGGCTGCAATGGCGATCCTATCAGTGCTTTCACTGGAAGGTATATCTGAATATCATCAGCATAGCAGTGAAAAGAAAAAAAAAACAGTTCTTTATGATTAAACCTATTTATATATATATAAAGGGAAAAAATATATATATGGTTTTCCTTTATATATATAAATGTATATATATATATTTATATACATAGTTTTCCATTTTCCTTTATGTGTATGTATATATATATATATACATATATATATATATGTGTGTGTGTATATGTATATAATTATATATATATATGTATATATGTATATAATTATATATATACCGTGTATATGTATATGTACATATAAAGGAAAACTATATATATATATATAGGAAAAAAACTGAAACCGTAAAATCTAGTTTGCGTGAATTCTCAGTCTAACACTTTATTTTTTTCTGTCGTGCAGGCTTTATGCAGGCCCCACACACGGCAGGAATGGCCTCAGCAACTACATGTAAGACTTTTGGCAGCTTTTTTTGTGACTATTAACTGAATACATGTATGAAGTTTCCTTTTATGTTCTTGTATTACTTTTTTTAAATTTGTTTTTCCTTGCGCACCTGTAGCTTTATTGCCGCCGACGATGGCCTCCAACCAAGACATCGTCAAAGAGACACCATTTGGCTCAATGATTCCTCCAACCAGTACCATCCCTGGCGGCTTCATGCCCCCAACCATTCCTCGACCTGGTGTTTTTCCTCCAGTGGGAGTTCAAACTCAGCCCACTAACAATGAGAAAATGTCACAGTCTGCAGATGGCATGGAAGCTGCAGCAGAGCTCACACTGCAAGGTGAGGCAGGCTTTGTTTTCTGTATTCACACATTTGTTTTGGGTCATCAGCTTTGCATGACTAAAAATGTCTAATTATTTCTGTGATCTGCTCTGTTTACAGGCATGCAGAAGGCAATCCGTAGTGGAATAGGTCTGCTTGGCATGCACCCCACAGCTTCCCTCCCCCACCCGCTGCACCAGTCCGGGTTGAATCAGAGAATGCCCGGGCTGCTGCCCCTGGATGTGAGGCCTAACCTCCTTCAACCTGGAGTTGCTGCCCGCTTCCCACTCCTCATGCAGCAGGGTCCTCCACAGCAACCTTCTGGCCTCCTTGATGGTTCCCTTCAGGCTCAGGCTCGCCCCAGGGCCCCCTTTCCTCAGATGGATCCCTTTAACAGGCCCCCCATCCTCACCAGTGAAAATGTACCCAAAACACAAGATGAATCCTCCTCTGGGGCTGATGAGGGCAAAGACCAAGACTACCGCTTCCCACCTATAGAAAATCAGAGCAAAGGCCTTTTGAGGACCCCTCCACCAGAACACAGGGAGCATCTTGGAGGTGCTGGGGGGCCAGGAGGAGGAGGTAGACCTCCTTTGCTTCAAACCCCAGGAACTCAGCCAGTTAAATCCAGCTTAGTGGGACGTTTGCAGGCTCTAGCAGGCTTCACTCCTGATAATCGCTGGAATCAAAACAAAGGGGACTTTGATGAAAGAGATGGGATGCGAGGAGGACCACCAGCACCTAGTGGTCCAAAAGGCTTTCAGGATGATCGCCCCTCACCTGGGCCCAACTTCTCTAATCGCTTTGACAACCGTCCTGGAGCAGCAGGTGTAAATGCTGGTCCAGTTGGGGGCCCACAGCCTTGGAACCGTGGAGGTAACGCCGGAGCTCCTTTCAACAGTGAGCTTCACAAAGACTTGGACGACCGAAGACGTTCCTGGGAGAGACAAAGAGACAGAGATGAAAGAGATGTTGACTTCAGAAGAGACATGAATGGTAACCGTCACAACCGTGAGAGGGAGCGGGATCGAGGCCGAGAACGCACCAGAGAGCACGAGCGCGATCGAGACGGTGATAAAGAGAAGGAGCGTGAGCGTGGAGGCTGGACGCCTCTTCTCCCTCTACCTACTCCACTTCTCCCCACACCTCCTCTCAATCCCAACCTGACGCCGAAACAAGGCAAGCTTCTTGCTCCTCTTAAACTAGGCCCCCAGGTTCAGCCACGGTTCCAGTTCCCTCTTTTGCCACCAGGTCAAGTCAGACCTCCTATCTTAGGTCTGAATCAGCCTCCTCCTCAGGCTCACATTAGATCTCCTCCTCCCTCACAGAGCCAAGCTCCTGCTTCTGAGCCTCAGAAAGAAATTCCAGTTCCTGTTGAGACACCTGAGGCACAGCCCCCCTCAGCTGGTTCACCCCACCCATCGTCTGACAGCAAAGTTCAGAGCACATTACCTGAGCCTCTCACTCAATCTAAACCTTCACAACCAGAAAGCCCAGCTCAAATGGAATTGCCTCCTCAGATCACAACTCCACTGGACACTAAGACCCCAACCACCTCACCTTTGGCCTTCTCACAAGCAGAGAGTCCCCCTGAAGAACCAGCTCCCCCAGTGGAAACTCAGGAGCAGCCACAGAAGGAAGAGGAGGTGTCTCAAGAGAGAGCCTCCTCTCCAAAACCCCAGTGGGTCACTGGACCTGAGAAGGACCCTGTCCATGTGGCTGAGCCCACACCAGACCCTGACCAAGAGCCTCTGCTCTCTGGAGGTGAAACGCCACCGCAGCAGGAGCACGCCACATCTCCTAAGGACCTAGACAATAAACAGAACGAGTCCACAGAGGAAGCTCCGAGTCAGCCAGTGGTAGACACTGTCACAGACACTGAGGGGACATAATCATCACTCAGTAGGTAAAAGATCATTTTGTAAAGTTGTCTCTTCTTCTCTGTACTCATGTCAGCAAACCACCACCACAACACGGGACATGACGAACATTGACTCACACCAGTTGTTGTCTGATAACCAACAACAAATGATTTTATCTCTTACCAGTGTACTTAAATAGAAGGCTTTGTGGATAGAAGCTTTTGTTTGTATTTTATTTCCTTTTTCCTTTTTTAAGTTGTAAAACCACACCACCCATTTTAATTGATATGAGCTCGGGGAATTTTATTGATTTTTCTGCCAAAATGTTTCAATTGTATATGGGGGAAATTTAGCTTTGACCTTCCTATGGAAGAAAGTGACAAATCCCAGCCATTCGACTCCAACTGCGGTTTAACAGAATGTGATCCTTAAAGAGCAACTGCTCGCCCATTTTCTGTCTTCTCTTTTTTTTAAATTACACCACAAAGTTTTGCAACACGTTCTTTTATGGTGTTCTACATTAATTTCTGTTTCTGAGCAGATCCAGTGGCATACATTCATTCAGACCAGAACAGCTGCTTTTAATTGGGAAAATAAAATTGCAATCAGTTAAAAAATAAAAAAGACAGAAGTGCAAACTGTTTGACTTCTAGGTTTGAGAAAAGGTCTGTAACAAAAATAGGAAATTACATCCTAGTGGAGAGGCGAGAATACAAACAGGACGATCTGATTTTGGATACATGTTGTTTTAGTTTGAAATAAACTTGCTCTGTCTGTTCACAACATTTGCTTTAGAACTGTTTTCTGACCCAGGACCAGTGGAAAGAATTAAGACTGCTTTACTTTTCAGACCCATAATATACTGTGTGCTGTCACTTCTGTTGATTCGATGATCTCAAGTTGCTGCTATACCATCCATCCACAGAGCAATTTGTTGGATGCAACCGCGGGACTTGTAGTTAATAGCCTGTATGTTGGCCTACGCTTTTGCTGGGTGACTGGTGATGATGGCACTGTGCCTTTTTGAACGGATTTTGTCGTTGACGATGCTACCCAACACCCGGTTTCAGAGGGCTCTCTGAAAAGATCGCTGCCTGCACAAAACTAACTTACCTACTGATTTAATGATAGCCGCACAGTTTGTACAGCACTCACCTAGAGGAGAACATGCCCTCCATCGTACTGTGCATGCAGGTCTGTAGCCATGTTTTAACCTTCCTGTCTCTCTTCTTCATTTCATACTAGTAGTGGTTTTCTGTTGAGACGTTCTATCAGAAATCTATAGTCTGCTGTTCTCAGACCAAAATGTCTACTACAGGAGTTGTGATGTTGAATAAAAAGTTGAAGGTGCATCAGATTTGTTAACCCTGTTACTGTCAAATCTATCAGATGACTTATTTCACATACAATCACTCCAGAGTGAAGCCGAAGACGATGAAAGAAATGGACCAGGTGTGTTAAATTTGAATCACGTTTTTGTATTTAAGCCCAACAACAACTAGGGATGCACCGTTGTGAAAATTTCCACAAATACTGATGTTAGAAGTTAAAATAGCTATTTTATACACACACACACACGTGCGCACACACACACATTTAGGACAAGATTACTGTCACATGACCAAACAATTACCACATGACCAACACTCCTCACCTGAAACAGAATCACAAACAAAATCAACATTGATTGTTAATATCAGCCCAGTTTTACTTATCAAACTGATACCCATATAAAAAAGGCACACAAACATCGGCCAATATGATGCTAATTCGGATATATCCTACATCCTTAAAATGTGATTACCCACAGAATTAGGAAACAATATTCAGAGTTCACGTTTTAAAGACTAGGCACAAATTCATGTCAGCTAGTGGCAAAGCTGCTTCGATTAGTCGCGATTCAACCCGATGAAAGGATAAAATCACGAAACCAAAATTACATATTCAAGATAAAAAGTTCAATTATGGTTGTAACTTCAGTTTTAATTATAGTTATACATCAAACTAAAACATAATTTTCTTCATGATTGATTAGTAAAACATGGACGTACAGCACTGCTATAAAAGCAGAGAAGAGTTGCTATGGGAGTTAGATGTCCAAGCTGGGAGTAAGTCGGCATAAAATGTTTTTCATGTGCAGCCATGTTTGGAAATGGGACGTCTTTGGTGTCGCACAAGTGAGCACGTGGGAGGTCCTAATAAGAGAATAGGTGCATATTTGTGCCGACTTTAAACATCCCTGCGAGATGCAAAATTTTATCCTTTAGGCAAAATAACCAAAATGTGCCAACATTTAAAAAATTAGGGTTATTTTGATTAATTTGATTAATAGGGAGCCTAAGTCTCCCTTTCCGGTCAGCTCACGGTTCCCTGGAAGATTGAATAAATGAATGCAAGTCAACGGGGCTAAAAGAGCTATTTTCTAATCCGCTTTGCTTTATGCCCTGGAAGGTACTTATGTTGTACTTCAAATAAATGACAAGTAATGATGTGTGTTTCAACCACGCCAGTCACATACTTTAAGATATATCAGCTTATAAATTAGCATGACTACAAATTGGACGTTTGTACATCGCATATATGATGTCACCACATAATCTCCTCTCCCGTAGCGTAGCTGCTACTTACCACATGGCCAGGTTTTTGGTGTTTTTTCCTCCTGAAAGAAGGATATGAAGTTTGCTGAACTCACAGCTACTTTCCCTTTGTTTTTCTCCGTGTCTGGTTTGGTGACGTCATTGGTGCAGCACATTTGTAGTCCTGGACTTATTTTCACACAAAACCCAAAAGAACATTTCCCCCCGTTCTAAAATGAGCACTTTCTTGGTATCAAATTGTGTCTTTAAAACTCACAGACATCATATGTGAAGTCCATGGCACATAATAAGCGGAATTAGAAATTGGCATTTTAGCCCCATTGACTTGCATTTATTTATTTTTTGTTATTCCAGGGACCCAGGGTCCGGAAGTAGGCTCCCTGTTGGACAGCTCTAACCTACTTCAAAAATGCTTTGAGGAGAATGAGAAAGGATCTTTAAAACTTAGAAAAAGATGAATGCACATACATGAGAAGTTGTACCTCGCAGCAGTTTAATCAATTTTTTGTTGTTTTTAATAAAGGTCACCGTCACGTTTACTTTAATTCCCAACAATAAACTTGTTCTAGCATTGCTTTGAAAGATGCAGCCTCAGATAAATTTGGGACGAAAGTCTTTATTTTGAGTAAATCATCTTCAGCCTTTATTTATGAAACACCTTCCTACATCAATAAATGCCCAAAGTGGTGTACACAATATGTAAATACAATTAAACAAAAGAAAACAACAAATACTGACTAAAACTGTTAAAAAAAAGACAATAAAATATTAAAAATACATAAGTGCTCTTGACTCCAGAAGTGGTAAAAATGCCAAAGCCTTAAAATGAGTTATTTGTTTTATTTTACTTGGTATACTTGAGTTTTTTTAGTTTGACTTGAAAGAAAATGACCTATCACGTTATAGACTCCCGTTTTTTTTTACACCTACCAATAAAGGTGTGAATCTTTACCAAGTTAGGCAACAAAGGTTCCTGCTAACTCCACGTGAATTATGTGCACAACCTCCTCTAGGGTCTATTGTTTAAAAATACCCATCTGGTGCTTACCCCTGCAGAACAAAAGGGGTTTAGACCTGTTCACCCCCGCTCTGCCAGGGACTCAGCTGCTACAGCTGGAGCGATTGCTTACTCAGCACACTGGTGCCAGCTCCAGTGTCGGAAAATGCTTCAATCGTTCATGATTCCGTTAAAAAAATCTTTTTGTTTCTTAAAACATGCACAGTCAGCCAGGTCCAGATTCCCACTGACTGGCTGTGGACAATAATAAAATAAATCTTGACTACGGATTGAACTACAGATTATTTTATCAGTAGAATAAAATATAGCCAGAGTTTCCCATCTCTTTAAGGCGAAAAGAGACTTGAAACGCATTTATCCTTTATAATAAACAAAAACCAGAGGAGAACTCTTTAGTAGAATATTACCCCGGCACGGGCCACTCGTTAGATCACCAGAACCATAATGACACAACTAGATGATGCCCCAGTGGAAGGGTCAGATGTTTCATTTTTTGTGAGGGAGCCAATTAGACCGATTGCTGAGCAACATGGAGGATTCATAGAATGTTCTAGAAATTTACTGGCTGAACTTTAATTCCAGATATTTGGCACATGGTTCATTTTTTTTCCAGTAATTAGTAAAATTACAGATCAGAGGTGTGTGTCCTCCACACACAGTACTGCTGCTGTAGTGTCAGTACCATATCTGTCCATTTGAGGTCAGTGTGGCACTGCAGCATTATCAACAGAACTGGCTCCAGCTTCAAATCTGCAGTGCGTACCTCTTCAGCTTGTTTTGGGTTGATTTTCTTTTCTTTTTTTTGGTTACTACCACGTAACATCTGCACATAATAACTGATGCCTTAAGCTTAGCATTGAGGTAACAAAGCAAAGGGGTCTTCGTGGTGTCTCCTCATTTAAATGTATTCATCAGACTGGATCAATAAAGAAGCGGAAGATGAATTGAATGAGACTCTTTTGAGTGTTAGGTTTGGCTCGTTTTTGCAGGTTCTCACTTTCTGCGTTCTCGATTGATTAAAACTATCGATCTTGGCCTCACAAAGCAACCACCTCTATCCACCACGGCCAGATATTCTCAGACAACGGGCGTCTGGAGCCAAACTGAGAATCCGAGTGCCTGTGGTGGTGTGAGCACTAGCTCAGATTCAGGAGTCAGAAAAAAATCAAGATCCATCTGTTATGTAGGAAAGAAATTCTGTATCTCTGCTCACACTCCGCCTCCACGGTAATTACTCAACATCGTGGGAGTGTTTGTAACTTTGGTGTTGTCTTTAGAAAGCTGCTGCCCGACTGGCACCCTGTTATCAGCACTGACAGACTCTCTCCCAGACTGGGCGGTGTCCAAAGGCCCCCTCAGACAGAAACTTACATCCAGTCTCTCCAAACAATGTAGAGGGGACGCAGGTGGAATGCTTTTGCAATCATTTATCTTTCAGAAGAAAATCTTCACCTAAAATGGAAGATGGAAAGGAAAATATCCCTGTAACTCTAATGAGCTCTCTCTCATTGTGACTGGATTCAGTCTGAAGCAGAGGACTAGTTTTCATGATTTATTCTCCATACTTGTGCAGAACAATTATATTTTTGTGGAGTTTGATACAAAACATTTCTATATAGAAACATGTCCATGCATGCTCCACGCTTCTTTCTGCCAAATGAATATTTAACAGCATTTTAGCCCATAAAGTCAGTTTTAACACGTGATGTGACCTCTACAAGAGTTCATCATCACTGCTTTGACTTGTATTGCCTACACCAGTCATATGGGATGTTGATTTCTGCAGACGTTTGTGTTTTCTAGAGCGTGAACTTGATGACTTCGGTGATCTTGTAAAACATTTTTTATACAATCCCATAGTCCTCAACTGGACTTGGATCTACTGGGCAGAAGCCGGCACACTAAGCTGGAAACTGTATCTTTAGCAGCTTTTACAATAAAAAGAGAAGCTTAGTAAATCCTGACTTACAGGTGAGGATTTTTAACCCATATGTAGCCTGTTAGCGATATAAATGTGTGTGCACATGCGTGCGTGGTCTAGATGTCAGGTAAAATACTTAGCACCTTGTGATTTTTATCTTGAGAGGCGCTGTATGAAAATCGTTTCTTCTTCTTTGTCTTACTGCAAGCTGCCTTTCCAGGACAGATGTGGACGATGTTCTCGTTCACCGTCCTCTCACATCCGTAAATACGAATCACCCTAGCACATCGGCAGTAATCATTGAAGAATTCAGACCCCTTTGTCCCCCACAGTCCTCTCCATCTTTGGGGTGAGCATGGGGTCAAAGGTTACACGTCCCTACTGTTGAACACACAATGGTTTGTTTGGGAAAACAGAAGAAATTGTCAAGGAAACAGTGGAATGCAACAAACTCCTTTTTGTGACTATCCAGCCGTGAGTCCCATCAGGGTGAATTGCGTGTTTTTGATCGGTGGGGGCGGGGCTTATTAATTCCGCCAACTCAAACGAGGAGCGTGCACGTTTGTTTGGGGGAGGATTGGGGAAATGGGGGTGAGAAAGAGGGGAAAGGGAGGTGCAAAGGGATGCTGAGCAAGCATAGTGAGCTGCTTGACAGCACAGCATATTGTGTGTGTGTGTGTGTGTGTGTGTGTGTGTGTGTTTATTTCTGGAGAGGTAAAATGTATCAAGAGAGAAAGGCAGGTGCAGGTTGCAGCTTCCTGCAGCCTGCTAAACATGCATCAGTTAATCTTCTGAACATGGTGCTTCTGCGCAT